GTTCACTGTAAATTTCTTCATCATCCGCCTCTTCATTAGCGAAAAACTCATTACCTTCCTCAAGACTTTCTTCACTCAAAGAAACAGTCTGAAGTAAGTTTCTTAAATATCGCATTTCTTCATCATAACTTCGAAAACGCGCCATGATGAGAGTATCATTTCAATGCGAACACCAGTACTCAGAATTATAACAGTAACGCTCGCACTGGGTGTGACGTACACTGGAGTAGCGATTACAAGATATCTATTTTTATAACTCTTTCCCTTATTTGTCTCTTTTAAAGTCATGATCTTGGAAGCAGCTACAAGATAAATTATCCATTTTAAAGAAAAGGTTGGAAAGAAACAGCGAAAAAACGGAGGGGGTGAGTATGTCACACCCAGCGTGATCAAACCCGGGTTAAAATTATTTAAAAATCCAGTGGCAGAAGCTTTGCTACATTTTATTAACACTCGGGCTTCAATATTGATGCTAAAGCAAGGTTTAAAGTTTAAAGAAATTAAACATTTAGCAGTAGTAGCAATAAAAGCTCCCTGATATGTTGTGCAGACATTGAAGACAATAAAAAATTTTGAACTTAACCAATTTATTAACAATATAATAAAGAATAAAAACACAGAAAATAAATGTCAATAATATCATAGTCTTAGGAAAAATATAATATAATCATCATTCATCAAATATTTTTACCTGGTCTCCAAACCACTGGCATTCTATACAAACAAAAAGTCCTAAACAGTAATTATGCGGCCTAAAATTGAAGCTGGCTACACATTTAATAAGTCCATAATCAATGGTCAAGAAAAACACCTGAAAATTTAAATGAAGTTCTTGAAAGCACTTAAAACAGGCCTAACCCCGTTTGCACAAGGAATCGCCGCTCACGTATTTTTAATTGCCGCCTTTATTGAAGAACATGGATGCCGCCCACGGCAGTCACTCACATGGTAGCCTCTGGAACCAAAGAACTTTATTCTGGAACCATCATCTCGCAAACCGGAACCAAGGCACTTTAATCACCGGACTGCATGCATCCTTCTGAAGGGGCTGGAAACCGCTCACTCAAGTGCCGGGAAAGCAGGAACTAGAAGGTTGAGCCAGAGCGACGCGAGATACTTATAGCAGAAGTAGGAATGACGTCATCTCACGGCAAACCAATCAGCTATCGGCACGAATCGGCTTTTCAGATGACGTAACATCATGTTTCGTTTTTGCATCTCAATTAGGTTGAAACAGTCCGTTCTCAATACAAACAGTGGCAGCAAGAAAAAAAAGTAGAAGTAACTACTATATTACATTAAAATAAGGACTAAACTAAATAAACATTTCAAGGAGGAGAGATGATGCAGTAAAAGGTTTAAAAATAAGCTATATTTTCCAACAAATATTTCTTAAAGTTATTATAACAACAGAAGATCGAACTGCGTCTCTATTTGATGTAATTGCTTCAACGTATGCTTTAAAATCTTCAGTGTTGAGCAAAACAGAAAATAACTTTATTCCAATAAATGTTAAAAGAATTCCAAAAAAGGCTGAAGAGAATGGAGTCACAATACGAAGTTAATTTCGAGAAGCTATTTTTTTATTTTATCAGACTGCTCTTACTTATTTGGACAAATGAACAAAAACGTATTTCAGAAGATGGAAACGTACAGCTGGATCATACTAAATGAAATCCCTTATTACAGCTAAGTTGAAACAGACATTTTGTTAATTAATAACATGATACCGAATCAGAAATTATTGGAAATTGATATACTATATGAGGAATATGCCTACCTTAAAGAATACATCACTGAAGAAAAATATTGAAGTGGTCAAGAAACAAGATGTGCCCAGTTCAGAGGTGGATGGAAATAACTGTTTATTTTAATAGGAACCAGGTTCCTAGTTCAAATGTTTTAAAATTGCCAGAGTTTTTCTTTTATCTTCCTGGAACTAAAACTGCAACTCAGGGAGTATTTAGCATTATGAACAGTGTTTAGACTAGTGATAAGACAAAGCTTAAAGTGGACACTTTGAAGGGTATGTTAATAACCAAAATAAATTTTGATGAAATTTGCACGGGCTTTATAAGAAGATCTAAAAATAAAAATATTTCTGAGAAGTATTCATACGTCAGAGAAATCTAAGACTACTTCATTAAAATAATTTAGAAGAGTTACAAATTTGTTATTTTGTTTATAGATGAATACTGAGTTTTGATTCACTGCTTACTTATTAAAAATATATATGTCAGTATTAAAATATAAAACAGAAATTATTTAGTTTGATTTTTGCATATATTTATATTGATTTATATACAACCTCCACCCCAATAACAATAAGTACTTTATTTGTAAAAACATTGTTTATAAAACTACATGTATAATTTCCCGATTTCGAACTTCGAAGTCTGGTCACCTTATTCGAAATGTATATTTAATTTTTAAATTACTGTTCTCAAATTTGGCAATTATGCTGATATGTATTCCGTTGACCAAAACTCATCATTTTTAAATTCGGAGAATGGTTAAAAAACGATTATGTGACTTAATTTAATATGAAATACCGAAAAATATTACCTCTCAGCTTTTGAGAAACTGGAGTAAAAAGTGATCACTTTTTGTAGTAAAGTCATCCATATCTCGAGACTAGAAACTCCATGATTAATTTTTACATTAGGACTATTAATATCGCGCGTATAAAGTTATCATCCAAAATTGTTCAAAAAAAATGCCGTAGGGTGAAAGCATGCATCAATGATTCTACAGAAATGTTGATTCTGCTTTCCATATGTTTACTAGTCTTCAGGCAGAGTTCATTAGTGATGACAGCCACATTCAGCATTTATTATTAGGTATTATTATAAGATTTTCAATATAAGTTTGCTAAGTTTTCCTGTACAAGTTCAATCCTAACTGCAACCAAAAATTTTTATACTAAATTCCTTTAAAAAATATTCTACGTTTCTCAAACTGTGCTCCGCGGGTCAAAAACGTGTCTCGAAGCTTACCCTTGGGGTTCTAGATTTCCAAAAATGTCTTGCTATTTGTAAATGAAATTAACTAACTCTTACCTCATTTTTGTTCGTAACATGTGGCTAAGTACATTGCCATGTATCCTCAGAACGAAATCGCTGTCTTTAATCAAATCTTTTAATAAAGTAAATGGGTTTGATAAGAATGTTATTTAGCAATATGTTACAACTTAAAATGATAGGTAGTGGTGAAAAACATATTAACAAAGTATAATTTTTGTTTTTGTATTACATTATTGTTAAAAATGTGTTAATTTTCAGGATTACTAGATATATTGCAACAAATATTATATATGAATATTTTACTTTTATTTTTGTCCCTCCTATTTATTGAGGTATGCGGAACTAAATGGACTAAAATCTAAATCAGAAGAGATTTCTCTTTTCTCTTTCATTTCCAAAATTGTCTGAAAATATTTTGCGTAAGTACATAAACCTAAACTTCTAGTCCATTTAATTCACATTAGTTCATAGAATATTTGTAGAACGTTTCTAAAATTATTGTAGTAATATTTTAAGTTAAAGTTTTTTTTTTCGTAACAACCACGTTTTTTCTTAAAAATCAAGTTTAGATGTAATGTAATGCAAACACAAAGAACACAAAAAAAGAGACTGTTGCCAAGTATGAAAATCAAATTGCAGAACTAATCGAGTTCCCGAGTACTTAGTAACAAATAAAAAGATTCAAAGTCATCTTTTTTTTATCACCAAAAGTATTCAAGTGAAAAATTAGTTTCTTTAAAAGAAACTTTCGGTTCATGACATAGGGTAGGAACAGCCATAATTCTGCTTCTAGCAATCGGAGGGACCACTTTAAGTAGCTTGGGGAAGCTTGATGTATAAGCTTTAAAGTAAAGCAATAAATTTGTTTTGAAATGTTTAATCAAAATTGAAGATTAGAATACAGTCGGATACCTTAAAATTCTTTTTAGTACAAAATTATATCGTTACTGGAAAAGAATTATTCAGCGTTTGGACTTGGAAAGTCAGAGGTCATAATCTGTAATTTATTTTCCAGGTAAAAAATATAACGCTTTTTTATGGGTTCTTGATCCTTTCCGTAGAGATTTTGAAAATAACAAACTGTCATTGATTGAAAAAGGACAGTTAATTGAACTCTCGAATGATAACGGGTTTAAAATGAAATTAAAAGTAGAAAGCATTGTTAATTTCTGAACCCATTATTGTTAATTTAACCCCATTGAAAACACGGAATATAGTGAACTATCAGATGATGCTTTAAATATTATAGTTTAATATGCTTTCAGGTATCTAAGTAAAGAAGGGTTTTCATCACTAAATCAAATAAAAACAAGGGACTGGAATCTGCTTGGTACGAAATGTACTTTCCTATTTCAGAACGTAGTGTATTTCAGCACTTGAAAACGATAAAAACACCGCAAATTAACAAAACATTTTTAATAAACCCTTCGATAAATTTTCCTGGAATGATTTATAAAATAATAAGTTCATAAAAATATTTAATATTAACGCTACCAATGAAAACCGTTAATATTATTAGCTTCTTTGGTATTAAATTAATCATTTATAAGAAGTTTTGCAAGCAAAGATTTATTGTAAAATAAATTGTACTCGTAAATTCATAAGACTACACGTGACTTATCCTTAAACGCTATTGTATATCGTAGCAAGTATTTTTCGCTATTATATATCGTAACAGGCGTTCTTACTGCACCATAACGGTATATACAAATCGTACGTTTTTTCTGAATTGTCAAACAGAACGATAACTAGAATAGCTGTTTCCATTTTTAAGTAGCTTCGATGTTTTTGGCATGCTTCAATAAACACAGGTAATAAATTCTATAAGTTTAAAAATTAATCATTTCCCTTGTTATTGATAAAACGAAAGTATATACCATAAATGTTTTGGGAACTGAAATAGACTTTAAATGTTGCTGTATCAAACATCTAATCCAAATATATTACAATCATTTTGAAAGAAAATTTCATATTTACCTGTTAAGGAGAACGCCGGAACTAACATTACTATTGTAAGAGTATAAAAGCATTTCATGTTTTAATCTATTATACATATATTGATAATATTAAATAGGAAAAACGGTTTCTACTGCTTGTATGTTCTTTTACAACTGATCGCAAGGATTTCATTACCTTTCATGCGATAACAGTTTTGCTCAAACACTTCAGAAAATCAAATCCGGGTTGCTGATACTTTAATGTTTACCGTCGAATAATATAATGACACAAAGATAAGAAAAGGAAAGGATAGAAATTATAAGAGATAATTTACTTTCGAACTCCGAAGAGATTAAAAAATCAATGCTCGAAATTTAGCCTATGGAAATTCAACAGTTTAAAGCGAAGTTATATTCAATTGCTTGCAAAGAAAGTGAGCTTGATTCTTTAATTATTTGTTTTCCACTTCTGCGGCTAATAAATAAACTTAATTAAGTCAAGAATTTTTCTAGGTAAAGTAGTTTGGTCTAAGAAGATTTTCACGAATTTTTCCTTGGATATTTGTGATACGTTCAGTTGTGCAAAGATACAGTAAAACCTGCATTTAAAATACAAATTTCAAGTATGAGAGAATTTAAATGCAGAAATATTACTTCATTTTAACTTAATCTCTTAATCATTATGACCGACTGATGTATGGGTTGTCAATCAAAACTCAATGTTTGGCATCCATACATCTGAAGTTTCTGTTTTTTATTGGAGGAAACGACAAAAACTATTCTTCCATTCATCTTTATCGCACATAATTATTTTAAGAGCAGAATGCATCAATGACAGCAATAAATGACATCAAAGGGTTTATAAATTTGATTTTACAGTAACAATTATTTAAAGCACTATGCTTTTCTTCTTTTTTGCAGCATTTTTCCTCACGTATTTCATCAAAGATTTTTGCACAACGAGCACTAGTTCTATCGAAAAAGATAGTTTTAGAGTTGAAGAATTTAAGTGCTATTAAAAACAAAGATTGGCTGAATATATCTTATTTCAAAATTTATCCTATTGAAAAAAATTAATGTAATTATAGGGTTAACTGATCCACAAATTTTTGTCAGTAAAATTTAAAAATGTGAGCACTATTATATCCAGTGCACCTATTAATGTATCGAATGCACCTTTTATGTAACGTATGTATTAATGTAATGTATGTGCTTGTATTATTTATGTATATAGTTATAAGCTGCGTAATGTGCACTGGCGCAGCTTTGCAATATGTCTGTAAAGTTTAGCAAATTTTATTATAGTATGTATTAGTATATCGAGTGTACTATTAATGTATAATGTATTATGTAATTATATTGATATATCGAATGAACCTTTCATGTTATGTATCTATCAATGTAATGGACATGTGTATGTGTTATTAATGTATAATGTATATAGCGATAAGTTGCGTAATGCGCATTGGTATTGCTCTCCAAAATGTCTGTAGAGTTTAGTTACTTTTTTTTTTTTTATAGTATGGCTTAAATCGAATGCATTATTAATGTATAGTGTATCAATATACCGAATGCACCTTTTATATTATCTGTGTATTAATGTATTGTATGCATGTAATATTAATGTATAATATATATAGCTATAGGTATTGTATAATATATTTAGCAATGCGCATTGATACCGCTCTGCAATGTCTGTAGAGTTCAGAAAATGTTATTATTATACGTATTAATTTATCGTCCATGCATCAACTAGTATAATGGTGCACTGTATAATGTGATACGATGTACTATTATTGTGGTAATTCAACATAGTAACAGCACTTTTTTATGCAAGTATCTTTTTATTGTATAATAAGCACTGTTATTGTAGGAATCCGCAATACCCCTGTTTTCCTCCATCTGCCCCTGTTTGCAACATTCTTTTTCTGGACAGTTGCGGGATTCGGACTATACCTGAATAGTCAGTGAAAGCCGCCCGCGTGTCCGGACCCTGCTCTCACCTATCACCTGTTAATGCTAAAAAATGTGTAGAATTTTTTAAATACTTTCATGAAAAAGCATGGAACCGCTATGGAGTCAAAAGTATATTCATTTTTTTTTTAAATTGCAGATTTTTGCATGGTATTCAATTGATTTTTTATTGTATGAATCTTACTATGTTGCCATGAAAATAGAATTGAAATAAATTATTCCAGAAATATTTATTCAGTTTTTAAAATGATATTAAAATTTTAAATTTTTGGATTTTAAAGTAAAAGTTACGAATTTCGATCAGAACTTTTAATTTTTCAGCAATAAGTAAGAGTATATTTTAGCAAAGAATCTATTTAGAAACAGGTATAAGACCACATTCTTCGTTATTATAGAAAATGACTTCTTTTGTAATTTAACTTAATTTCTGTATGTTTAAATTAAAAAACGTCAGATTATTTCTAAATTAATATCTTCAATATTTTACATTAAAGCTAATTATTTAAGAAACCTTTTCCCGCTTACACATTAGTGAGCAAAGCTAAGCAGCGCTACTGATGTTGACTATAATTCTGCAAAAAATCAATTGGGGAAACATGAAATTCATACTACAGAGGCTCAATGTAGTGTTTAAACTATGAGTAACGTAGAATATAAAAAATGATAGAGTGCATAAAGTAAGAAAAAAATAAAAAAAGGGCTTTATTGACATAATGGCGATGGTACAAAAAACTGTATTGACAAGATGGAGAACAGCAAAGAAAGAGCCTTAGGTATACAGTGTCCCTTAATTCTATTGGTTGCATTGCTTCGTCTGTCGATACTTAACGCAAGATTATCTAGCAGTTCTTGAGGTAGTCAATCTCACTCTTCAACGAGCAACTGTTGCAGTTGTTTGGTATATGTGTAGAATATTTTAGGGAGATGCTTGGCAGTACGAACCGAGAGATCGTACCGCCAAGCATCTCCCTAAAATATTGTACGCATGTTCAATGGGATTTAAATCAGAGAAAGGAGCTGACTAATCCATTCTGTGGATATCTTCACTTTCCAGGAGCTCGTAAGAAACATGAATCATGTCTGGACGTGCATCGTCATCCATAAAAATGAAGTCAGAACCAATAGCACCACGGAAAAGATGCACATGGAGACGATAAAATTATCAGAGTAACGCTTTCCGGTGAGTGAACTTCTGTCGAAATTTAGCAGCTCCATCCGTCCTTTCTTCATAATGCCTCCCCATACAAGCACGCCAGGAACATTCCAACCTTCTCTGACTGAGTGAAAGCATGACTACCATTTCTCGCTATATCAAATAGCACTACGAATCATATATCAGACTTAAACGATTCTCATCCGTAAAGAGGCGTGACTGCATTGATGAAGTGTCCAGACTTTGCGTTCTTTACCACCATTGTAAACAGTGCCACTGATGGACTGCTGCCAATGATATGCAGTGTTCAGGATGGCCGGTGAATAGATCAATTTTATAAAGTCGTGTTTTCAGAGTGAACCAGGACATATTGGTTGCCGTGTGCAATTACTGAGCAACGTTGCCCGCTGTGTGGTTTCGATCTGTTTTCATCTCAAGGGCGATATATCGACCATCAGTAATCATTGTTTGCCTTAGCCAGTTGCCATCAATCTTTCTTACCAACTGTATACGTCGTTTAGAAGGCTTTCCAAGCTCGTAAAACAATACTTTTACCAACCTTTAACCCTTGGGCAACAAAGATCCAATTAGGTCCTTCTTAACCCCTTCGCGCCGACTGTCACGTATACGTGCCAGCAACGAACACACTTATCTACCGGCCGACACTCAGGCCTGCCAGAGGATTGTTCCGTTCTCTACCGTCTGTCACGTATTTGTGCCAGTACTTTGGAACGTTTTTCAAACTATAATTTCTGCCACAAGATGGCACTGTATGTCCATATGGTTTCAGATACATGTACATTAGACCTCCTACTCGAAATGAGAGAAGCATGACTCGCATACACGTGTTTTTGATTATATAAACAAACGGGGAAGTAAATGTTTCCGAATGGCGTGATTTATGACGTCTCTTTAAATCGCACTTTATTCGCACGTGGTAGTTGTTTACTGTAAGTAGAGAAGTTTTATTTGCTCTAAAGCGTTGGGTATTTCGGTTTGCAGTTCAGTTTTTAGAAAATAATTAGATCTTGTTAGACCTGAATTCTTTGTTTTTACCGTTGCAATGTCGAAGCGTCGAAAATATCTAACAGAGCATTAAATAGCAGAAATGATGCAAAATATTTCAGATATTGATTCTGAAATTCTGATATTCTGATATTGATTCTGAAAGATTAACTGAAAGACATTTTCCAAAACTTTTCAGAAGAGACTGATAAGAAAATGAGACGACGATGCTTCGTTTGTTCACATTCCCGGAAAAATCCTCCAAAGCGGCAAATGAGTTATTAAGGAATGTAACGTAGGACGGTGTGTAGATCCCTGTTTTCAAATTTTTCATACGAAAAGAGAATTTCAAGTAATATATTTAGTTTTCAGAGGTATAATGTTAAAATTCATAAAATGGTGAGTAATTAAAATAAAATGTGTAAATATGCATTTAAACAAGAAATAAGGTAATTAAAGTATATATATAAAAATATCTATAAAGCATAAGCCGTTTAAATACTCTATAGAGCATTATTAAACAATCCGTTGATACTTCGGAAATTCCATGGATTTAGGCTTAATAGCAAAAAAGCCCCCGGCCCTGGAGAGACGCTCGCGTAAGACACTGCCGGCCTCAGCGATAAGCGCGCGTTTTCGCTACACGGCTCGAAGGGGTTTTAAGGTTGTCAATCGTTCTACTAGAGGTAAAGGAAATCTTGATTAATGTTGTAATTATACTGGATGTACAATCTTACTTTCATTTGCAAAAGAATGTCTGGGAAAGGTAACTTTCTTCCTTCTTCTTAAGTTGCTTTGCACGACGCGCACTGACTTCTCGCGTTTTACCTGCCCTGACGTACTCCGTGGCGTCATGGTGGTGATATTTGCATATACATCACATTTCTATTGAGTTGGTGTTTCATCGTACTGAACGTAAAAAGAACTTTTCAACAATTCTATAGTTGTATTTTACGCATTAGTGTATATTTGCGATGACAATTAAATGTTAAATGAATATTTCTTATAAAAAGTACAGACTTCTCTTTTATTAAGAGTTGAATTTTAAAAATTCA